ACCACGATATCAACGCTCATAAAGATGCGGACTGGCCGAAGCTATTGTTGATGTCGGCCATGAAACAGGTCCGGATAGCGGAGCATAAAGGTTCCAGATAAGAGCACCATGTACGTTACTTTAAACGAGGTTTTAACTAGTTAAATTTAACATTACGCGAGGCAAAAACATGTTCCCTCGAGAAAAGCCTCATTTGAGAACCTTGTCATTCGAGTTCAATGCCTTATTGGAATAAATTGACACGCATTTTGAAAATCGACCAATGACGTGTTTTTGAAGTTATATTAAATGCTTATTTATAATGTTGTATTCTTTTGAGGCGATTGGAAAAAAATATGAGAGTGCAATTTTTACGGTCGAAGTTGGTTGCTTGTAACTTTACGGCATGTATTATCTTGGCAACCAATAACATATTTTGACATTTACCCATGATTCCAAGTTGTTTAATTAAACTGTTATAAATTGCATTTAATGTCTTTTTACAAAAAAAAAAAGAGTAGTGGCACAGGGGATAAGATTTTTATTTATTTTTCTTGTGTTTCGCTAAAGACTTTTTTTATCAAACAAAGTATGTCGTAAGAGAATATGAAAAAATTGAGTGCATTCTTTCTATAATAACGATTTCATTTAACTGTAGCCGTTTGCTTCAATTAGATGGATATGTTTTTTGTAGTAAAGTAAAAAAGTAAAGTATCAGCCTATACATGTCCTGCTGCTGGGCAAAGTCCTCCTCTGTACAGAAGGTACCTTTTAATAGAGTGGGCCCCGACTACCGCTCATCAGACGTAACGGAGAAGTACAACATTATAATAATTTATATTCACTTGTCACGTCTAGTATTGAAAACGGACGAAGAGAAACGGACCTAATTCGCTCTACTTTAGAGGGATTAAAGAACTTAGAAGTTTGTATTTAATTTATAATCTCTCTGGCTAGGGATAGAATATTAACAACAAAACATCAAATGATTAACTCTGACCACATTTAAGAACTTATAAAGAAATATTAATTTAACTGATCAGAAAAAAACTACTACAACAAAATGAAAAGTAACAGCCTGTAAATGTCCCACTGCTGGGCAAAGGCCTCCTCTGTACAGAGGGCATACATAGTCCACCACGCGGCCCCACGGCGGATTGGCGGACTTCACATATCTTCGAAATATTTTTTTTATTATTATTTCGAAAATATGTACGTTTCCTCGCGATGACTTCCTTCACCGCTGAGGACGTGATAATTCAGCACTTAAAATTAACAATTTCATTGATGCCGGCAACGGGGATCGAACTGAGGTTGCTCGAGTGTAATTGAATTAAAGGCGAGCGTCCTTCACTGAGCTATCACGGCTTCTATTGCATTTATTTTCAAACAATTAGACTTTGAAATCTAAAAAATAATTATACAATAACAATAAGATAAAATAATTTCTTACTTTATTCTAAACCTACCAGTAACTGAGATTTACCATGCGTTTAAATCGTATTACTCATCATCATTATCCTCCTGCCCTTATCTCATCGAGGTGAGGTCGGCACATCATGTGAATCTTGTTGTAAGCGGTTTTGGCAATGTTTTTACCTGCCTGGCATCAACCCTCCTTAGGAAACAAACACCCAGATCTGGAACAATTATCTGCAGTTCACACAAATACTTTGTTCTATGGGGAAATAGAACCCACGACCCCCGACACTGATTCTACTAGCTTAGCAACGGTATCACCGATTAATCTGAAACATATTATTGTTAAGAAGAAAGAAACTTGAAATTAAAAAGTAAAAAGACCTTTCCTGTTCTATTACTAAGTACAGAAAACGTCTTTTTAGGGAAAAATAATCGTCAAGAGATTTCACTTGCATAAAGTTGCGACACACCGATTTTAATCGCATCTCCATATAGCAGTCGTAACTTGTGCCGCTGACAAAATTATACAATCCCGCTTTAACTAAGAACTCAACTTGCTTAAGCAATCAAAGAAAACTTCTACGTAATGGACCTTAAACTTGTGACCGATTTGCATAACATTCGCTTTTATGGTCTTTCAGAACAGACTATTGTTTCGCTATAACGTCTATTTTGTTAACTTCGCCTGTTTTACAAATAGGGGCACTAAATAAGTTTTATGCGACTGTTTCTGCTTCAGGTTTATTATTCTGTCATACGATTGCAATTTTATTGTTTGGATCCGTATTCACCTTCTGTTTACACTCTATACTTTTTCATTTTTATGCATTCAAGATACTTTAAAATATCTGCTTAAAGAAATAATATAACTCTTGTTTAATTACCAATGATTTTCAACTACTTAAGTCCATCGGCATTCATTTATCACAGCATGTGTGGTCACTATAAATAAATAAGCCCACATATAGTCACAGCTTTGTCAATATCTTGACATTTTAGTAGAGATTTTCTATTATAGTATGGGTTAAAGTGCTCAGTAAATATTTCGTTTCATTGATATTTAGATACATAAATGAAAATAAATTAATAGCAAACACATAATTACGCAGTTTTTAATCTGTCTTAAGGGAGATTAAGTTGTCATTAATACATGCCTTATCATGCACATTTAATTTGTACATACCTAAATTTAATCTGTGCTTTTTGTCCGACCCAATTTTGCCCGCTGTAGATCGTCAATGCACCACGCCCCCTATTTATGCTGATACTCTAAGCAGCGTGTCAAATGTAGGCAATTGATACGTGCCATAGTCAAAATATCAGTAACACTTATTGCATGAATTCACGAAGCGAATTGTCATTGTCGTTGCAACACTGCTCTATTAAATTCGTTTCGGAGCGAAATCACGTTTACGCAATGTAGAACACGGTGCCGCCTCCAACGTCCTCGATAACTGATCCCAGATAATGATAAAGGCTGTTGTTGATAACATTCCTCGCAAAATACCATTTATGCGCAATCAATTATTGTTTATCGGCGATTTGCCACAGAAGCTGCCACAGCTAAACTTTAGCGTTTTCTTAAACTATATCAATTTTAATCTTAGGTAAAGGTAGAAAGGGTAGGTAGGTTAACAACAAGAATGCCACTCGTTTTTAAAATTATGAAATACTAGCGACGTGCCCCGGATTCGCACGGGTTTATTGTATTATAGATATAAACCTTCCTCTGAAAGCACTATATCTAGTAAAAAAAAACCGTATCAAGATCCGTTGCGTAGTTTTAAAGATCTAGGCATACATAAGGACAGACAGACAGCGTGACGATTTTTTTTATACGATGTAGTGAAAATGAAAATTCTGTGAAAAACTTAAAGGGTTGCGATTAGTTTAAAGGTTGAAAACATTATGTGTAGTAAAACAAACTAGTGTAAATATTGTAACATAGAAAATATCATCCAATACAGTTCTTCCAATTGTTTTATAAATTATATTCAGCATATAAAATTTTAAATTATATTTATGAACATTGAAAACATTTCACATTACATTTTTTTACTAACATTACAATAAGTTATTTATGTAAAGTACTTGCAAATCTACATTCTATTTTGACGAGCTGTTTTGATAAAGAATGAGAATTAAATGGATTTATGTCAATATAAATTAAAACAAACTATTTCGTACTTTTGTACAGAATGTTTTCCTCTCTAGCCGGTTAAAGAATCTTTTGTTTTGCCCGATTAAGTTACAACTTAGATCGAGAAAATTTTACTTTCTTTCGGTCGGATCGGATCCCGTGGATTTGTTATGTACCGCTAACTTTTAAAGTGTTCATAGAATTCTACAACTATCAACATTGCTTTAATTATTGTATTGCCTTCAACGCAATGTCTAAATACATAGAAGTCAAAATACTAGTTTCAATATTGGATTTTGTTATTTTACTATTTTAACCAAGACACATTTGTCAACGAGTTCGGAGTTTTAGATGTCCATGGCAACACTAAGCATCAAATGTACTTACGTTCACTTGACATTTTTGCACAGAAAGAAATTAAAACCACACCATTTTCAAAATTAAGACCAAGGGAGAAAAATCTGAAACAAGCGAAATCTATAATATGTATTGAAATCATAATGAGATACATAATTTCAATATCGTAAGCTGTATTTTCCTGTCATATACACTAGGCCACAAAAATAGCAGGTCAATAAAACTGTGATACTGTAATAGTTCCTTAAAATTCTAAATCTATTCCTGAAACTATGGTGTGCCGCAAATGACATATAAATACATAAAAGAAGGTACAGAAACGTTTTTCAGCTATTTTTAATATAAAAATATCAAAACTGAAAAAAAAATATATCGGTACGTTGTGATAACAAAAAATACATCACAGTTTATTAAAAATGCGGTTGTTTTGTTGTGTAGAAAAAATGTTATTGTTCTAATTTTGTCATAATTTCTAAATTCTGAACTTAAGCTTTAAATGTATATAAATTAACCCTCTTTTCAGTTATATAAAAGCGTCATAAATCTAATTATCGCAAATAGTAAAAACCGCGATAACTAATTATCGCGATTTTTATACGTGATCCGTTATTTTTGCGGCCCATATTCAGAATGTATTCCATATTTCCGAAGTTCATTTATCGGCTGCATCAGCTGCCACTTTTTCCGGTGCTATTTCAATTTATTTGCCGGTATACATTATATTGGCTATAATTATTGTATATACATTTGACTTCAACTATTAAATATTTTAAATAAAAAAATAAACATTGCTATTTTTGACCCTATTCTTAATAAATATAATTGTGTATTAGGTTTGCGGACTATAAATTTCTAATACAAACTAAACTCTTTCACGTTAATCGTCATGGTAATTTAAATATGTACAAATGTAATGTAAAAAAAAACTGCTCTTTTATATACGTTTTAAATTATTGTTTATTAACGATAATGGAATGAACAAATATGCGCTAAGAACAATTTACTTCGTATGTACACGAGACACGACATTATAATACCGGCTTTCTTGTCGGAACCAACCAAGAGTGTCTTTTGTCTCACAAACGTGTTGTCCTGCAATTTATGGATTAGTTCCTTTGTTGGACGTCCGCAGTGTATTGATATTCAATTGAAGATAGCGCGTGGCTATAATGGATGACCGGTCAATGTTGACTAGTGTTGTAAATAGTTGTTCACCAGCTAATGTTTTCTGTAATAATTATAAGACATTTTATAAACGGAACACCACATCTTACTGCATATATTTGTACTTTAAAAACATCGCTTATTTATAATCTAATAATTGAATATAACACATAATTTATTTATATTGAAGATAAGTAACAACTTTTTATATGTACGCTAAAACTATTATCGATATGGCGTGCATGGTGTTAAAAGTATCTTTAAGAGCGAATAATTAATAAGAAGGGCCAAAACGAACCATGAACTCGGGCATTGAACCTAAGAATTTCATTCGGGTAGATATTTATTAATCTGAAATGCCTTCCTGCAGTGATAGCAGGGATTTATGGCCTTCCAAGCTCTAACTGCAATAAGAGCTTGTTCGACAGTTATCGCATTGCAACGCAAGCTGTGCTTAAATATTGCAAACATATTTCGCTAGGATTTATGTAAAGGCTCTTTAATGTTTGTGTAACGTCTCGACGGAATCACAGACGGTGATTTACGATATACAGAACTCAAAACTGACGTCATAAATTACACGCGTCGAAAAGATCTTCCCTTTGTCGAGATGTTTGAACTCAAAAAGTCCCGGTCATGGCTTTTTCCGGTATCGTGACGTTCAGTTAAACAAACTTTTGTGTACTTGTAAATAAAGTATAGAATAAGTGATATTAGACTGGAATATAACATAAAGTTAAACAAAAATATTGAAAGTATTTCTAAATACCTACAATCATAAAATACACAATACAAAATCCATGTACAAGTCAATACTTATACATCGATTTTATTCTCAAATAGTTTTATTAAAGCAACGTGTACGCAAAGTACGTGTAACGTAAGAACGAGAAATCATTTAATAATATACAATATACATAATACCACAACAATACCGGTGCCATAAACTGACTTGGCTTGACATTTCATTCAAACATGAATCATGCATAACTAGATCGTGACTTTTACCACGATCCGTTGCCTTAATAAGCTGGACGTTTACGTCTTCGAAGAACCACAATATTAAAACCACAGATTATTATGACTAATGAAGATCTGCTCCACAGATAAGATGCCGGAAATGCCAACGGTCATTTTAAAACACAGATAATTACGTATTATTTATATACATGAATAGCCAATGCTACCGCATAAGGTGTGCGTTGCTACAATCGTTCCATTACCCCACACAGCTGAATCGTACTACAATTATCAATAATTTCATGGCGTGTAAAGGCGACATGTTATTATTTCATCAAATCGATCAGATTATGTTATAGCAGGTGTTAAATTAATACCCAAGTTTCGTTTCGGAAAGGATTAAAATCACCCTCAAACGCTTTTTCGAACGTTAATAACTTTAGTTTTCTATTAAAAACGGAGCGCTTCGTAAAATCCCATTGCTATATCCATCTGATAAGTATATTAATTAGAACAGTTGGCACTAATTTTTACGATTCGATTAGTATCTCGATTTTATTGTTGTGTAACGTAGAACAACCACGCTCTGAATGTTACGCAAAGTAATCTGATACTGACTAAGGAACAAACATACCGAAAGAGATACGACAAGTCCGAGATAACATCTGTCAACCGTAAGTAGCCGGACGGTAATTAAGAATAGTTCAATTTATTTATCACAGATCGAATATAATGCGAACCTTGGCTTATTTATACCTCATTAAAATAATATCGAAACATGCTCTATGATTCAATAGCTCTGTTAGAAAGCAAGGTCGCAAATAACGCTCAGCAAGTGGAGGTTTGATTTATTCAGTGGTACAAGTAACAAAAGTAAAGCGATGTTTTTATTTCACAATCTTGAACAGTGTTTCAAGGTCACGAAGAGGCAATACAGTTGTGTCAACCGCACAGTAAAATAAAAGTTAACAGTATTTTATCAGTCAGCCGTTTACTGGGCAACCAGGAAGATCTGAAGAAGAAAAACATATGAAATATTATTTTACTTTTGCTGTATTTTACTATACACACCGGCACAATTAGCGGAACACAAAAAAAGAGCAGGATTTTAAAATCTTTTAGTTGAGGAACTGGCCAGTTATGATATTTTTTTAATTTATTGTCAAATTTGAAAATAGAAAATTAGATGACATACACTTTTTTCATTCATTTGTTTTATTTTCCCGAACAATACGTGTTGTCAACTTGTTCTAGTAATAACTACGTAATTGTAATTTTTTTGAAAAATTGCACTTAATGGTTTTTTATAAATTTGTTATTCTATAGGCAATTTTGTTTATTAAAAGCTCTTTACTATGCCTGACTTAACATCACTGGAAATCATTAGGGCTGATGAAATGAGAAGAAATGGCCATACCTACAGATCGATTGCCTCAAGGCTTCGTCTACCAGTATCAACGATTCATCGCAGCATCCAGCGGTACAGCTGATCGTCTAATTCTCTTGTGACCCCTCCGGTCAAGGTAGAAAAAGATGTACATCGAGGCGAGATGACAGTTTTTTACAACTTGGAGTTCGTAGGAATACGCGATTAACGGCTGTACAAGCTCGAAATGAACTGGAAGACGTTCGAGGAGTACGAGTAAGTGAGCGTACAGTTCGCAGGAGATTTGAAGAAGTTGGTTTAGGGTCGTATATACCTGCCAAAGGCCCAAAACTTGAGAGACGTCACCGCGTAAACCGATTAAGCTATGCGCGAGAACATCGTCATTGGGATTTGAACGAATGGCAGCAGGTTCTCTTTACTGATGAGTGCAGAGTTCTTTTAAAACAGATCGATGGGAGACAGCGAATATGGAGACGCAAAGGAGAACGCCACATACAGTCTAATTTTGAACACACAGTGGCTTATGGTGGCGGCTCGATTATGGTTTGGGGAGGGATATGTTTGGGAGCTCGCACGGAGTTAGTGATAGTCACAGGAGGGACCATGAAAGCAGATCGATACATCAGAGACATTTTAGAAGAACATCCATTTGCCCCATTTATTGGTGACGACTTTATTCTAATGCAAGATAATGCTCGTGCTCATAGTGCACAATCGGTACAGGCATATCTGAGCCACGTAGCTATACCGGTGATGGAGTGGCCAGCAAATTCCCCCGATATGAATCCGATAGAGCATGTCTGAGACTTGCTAAAAAGAAGGGTTAAGTCCAGAATGCCACCCCCCAACAATCTGAATGAACTTGGAAACGCATTACTTGAGGAGTGGGAGCGGATGCCTCAAGAAATCATCGATAACATAATCTGTAGCATGCCCAGACGAATGGAAACCGTAATCAGAGCAAGAGGGGGAAACACTCGTTGTTAATTTTGCTTTAATTTTATTGTTAAATCAAATAATGCTTATTTTTTTTATTTTTTGTGATGGTTCATAATCATCTAAAAATTTCACTTATTTCAAATTTCTTTATTTTTCAATAAAAAATAACGAAGACTTTTCAAAAGATGTTAATCAATTTGTTATTTTGTGTTTAATTACATTTTCGTCAAATATATGCGTTATTATCTCATAGTCTCACTTTTTTTTCTATTCCGCTAATTGTGCCGGTGTGTATATAACATTCGGCAGCAATCCCTGAGTTTGATTTTTCGTCACGCACTGCACCTTCAAAGTGTTTTGCTCAGTCATTATAATATATATAATATAAAATGACACAAAAAAAACTCAATTTATACGTACGAACCATCGATGACGTCAGCTTTCAAACAAAAAAAACGCACCTTAATCGGTTCATTCTTTTAGACGCTCCGAAGCCACAGACAACAGATACACAGACAGACACTTCAAGCTTATAACACTGCTCTTATCTACGTCGGCGATTTAAAATTCGTTTCGGCTTCAGTCCAAGAGTTGAAATTCAGTTCTGAATAGAAGTTATTTGTATTTTTATGTTTGCATGTTTCTTCAATGGTGGGGCCATTGAAGAACCATGCAAACATAAAAATATATAAAATTCAAAGAAAATCCTTAATGTAAAAATACTTAAGAATGAGCAGCATCTCGTATATTTGATATGAGATAATGTCTCACTGCGGATTGGAGGTCTTTACATGTTTTTGAAATATTTTTTTGTTATTACTTTGAAAATATGAAAATTTTCTCGCGAGGTTTTCCTTCGCCGCTGAGCACGTGATAAGTCAAAACATAAAATTAACAATATCATAGGTGCCGGCACCGGGGATGAATCTCAGGTTACTCGTATGAATTAAAATAAAGGCGAGCGCCCGGACACTGAGCTATCACGGCTCTTGAATCGAAAGGGTGAAGTATTATTAATGAAAGTACATGCCGCGTCGCTGTTGAATTGCACCACAACCATCATAGCGGTGTGTGATCCAGATAAAGGCGAGACAAAGAGGGCTCCGGCGACACAGCCTGAGAACTAGAGCGGCAAACAGTACAAGTTATTCCGGCGCAAGCTCGGCTCTAATGCAGCTTGGTGCGTTTGTAAAATGTAATTTATTTGGAGAACCGTTACAAAAAAACATACCACATCGCGTAGAGGCCTTGAGTCGAGGCATTATTTACCTCGTCAAGTAGAACAAGCTGTCGATCGATTTTAAAAATTAATGATGTATCATCGGCAAATAACACTATATCATGTTTATTCCCTACAAAGTAAGGAAGATCATTAATGTAAATGAGAAAGAGAAATGGGCCGAGAATCAAGCCCTGTGGAACGCCCATAGATACCGTCGACTCAGAAGAATTAGCACCATTAATTACATCTTTTTGAATTCTATTAGAGAAATATGACTTATTGAGGTCAAGCGCCGTGCTTTTAATGCCATAATGGCGCAATTTCCTGATCAGTTTTTCATGATTCACGCAATGGAAAGCCTTGGAAAGATCACAAAAAACACCCAGAGCATCCTGTGAACTCTCCCAAGCCTCAGATATACGTTTGATCAGCTCTACACCAGCATCGGTTGTAGATTGACCCCTTGTAAAACCAAACGGGTTGTGATGTAATAATTTATTTAAGTTAAAATGTCTTAACAGCTAACCTAGAAGAAGTTTTTCGAAAATTTTACTAAGTGTTGGTAGTATAGAAATGGGTCTAAAATTAGTGGGGTCCGAAGTACTACCGGATTTAAATACAGGTATGACTTTACTGTGTTTCATGAGATCAGGAAATACGCCAGAGTCTACACTACTGTTATTGAGGCAGTCACTTCAACGGACATTCCCCATAGATCTGCCGTTTTCTTAAGTTCAATGGTCTTAACCATTTTTATAATATCTTTTACATATACACCCTGAAATTTAAAGATTGTGGAGCAAGCACTTACATTTTCCTGAAATAATGTCTCGGCAATAGCAGGAGAAGAATTCAGCGACAATGTAGTTAAAGTAGGAATCTCACTAAAGAATTTCTCATTTACTTCAACAACTTCAACTGAAACAATGAACACAATATAAACAATTAAAAATATGAAATTTTATAAAATCATATCATAAATTTGTATATATTATCCTATACAAATTAAAAAAAAGATAAAAACACTGCCGAGTTTATTGCCTGTTCTTCCTTGAACACATCCAATTTATTCAACCGGTGGTAGTTTTTTGACGTTCTTTAAGCAAGTCTGTGTTGAATAAAGAGATTTTGGATTAGGCTCGACTTTGACTTGACTAAAAACAAAGGAATAATACATACGAGGGGATATGGGTCGCGTGGTGAACTATGTCCTGGTGCGATATTTATAGGCTGTTACTTAACTTTATTTATTTTACCCGATCTAATGAGTAATTTTAATAAATTCTAAACCAACTGCTTTATCTTTATCCCGTATAGATAGGGGTGGGTACAACGTGTGAGTAATTTTGTTAAAGTTATTAAATTAAAGGTTAAAACATGTAGAAAAAGTACGAAAAGATTGTCGCCGCTGTGCGAATCGAACCCACGTCTTCGGCATTCGCGGCCTGACGCCGCTCTAGCCACTGAGCTAAACGGCTGATAGCTTTCCCGGACGGTGACATAACCATTAGTGCTGCTTGTCCTTTTAATAGTTCTTAATTTTCAAGTTCAGAAGAAGTTAAAATATTAGAATCATAGTAATAACGTTTTAACTCTTATATAGTTTGTGTATGTACAAATCTAAGACGGTTGAGGTACCAGCAGATAAAGCTATTTTTCTCTTTGTATACCACTCCGTGTATATCTCGTGCACTGAACAGATGGATATCTAAAGTATGATTTTTTTCTGTAGTGCACTGCTTGCCGCTTTTCTACAATTCCCTTGATGGTAACTGGTTATGTTGTTGTAGGTGTTGCTGAATCAAGCTAGTACATGCATACTCACTCATGCTGAGAACTAGCTTCTTAATAGCCGAAAAATCTGCGGGAATTAAGGAGAGTTACTGCGTATTTAGTGGTAGAAAATCTTAAATAAGATACATTTCAAAAAGCCCCATATGAAACTTAAAACATAACGGGTTATAACGGAGCTTCAATAACTGGAAAACTTGAGTGCTTAACTAAATATGCACTTATACCGCGACGGCTTACAAATGTGTGGCACGGCGGCAATCCGGTGCAATTAAAACTTCCCAGCAGTCTGTTTACGAGTGCACCTTTCGGCCCAAATTCACTAAGTTAGCCGAGCGATGCTAAGTTTATCTAGCGTTCCTCACATTGCACCGAAAACTTCTACGATTTGGGACTCTGACGGGGCGTATCAATATTGTTTGCAACTTTAATAAATACTATCAAAATTGCTCTGCCAAGAACGTACAGAGCCAGCGAAAACAAGATATAATTATTTGTTTAAATCAGCTTCCGGTCCAAATATAAGTAACTCTTCTTCGAATATGTTTGTTTTCAAATTTAGATACATATTTGAAAGAGACTTAATATCAAATTATCTTTTTATTTAGAAAATTGTAACGTCAAAAACTTATTAAGAAAATCATTTTTCATTAGTTCATTGCATAAAGCATTCATACTCCTGATGTGTAATTGATTTTAACCCCATTTTAATGGACTTAAACATTAAGCTTGATTAACAGTTACTTGCTATTGTCTTGAATTTATCAAGTTTCATGCGTTTATGATAAACTTAGATGTACCTCTCTTCTATAAAGTTCAGCATGTGTCTTGCGGGACTAAAGGCATGTCCTTATATTGCTTTTAAAGTTAAGAAATACGGCCCATATATTGTCTACACTTGCGCCAAGCGCGTCGTTCAGACTTTGAAAATGTATTATCAGCTGAATTCAACGTGGGGTATCTAAAACAATAAAGTTAAAAGTTTTATGCGCTTGCATATTTTGCTTTATAAAGTTTATTTTGTTTAGAAGCAAAATATTATTTAGATACCATCACATTGGCAAAGGTTTAACTATAAGCTTAGATTATAATCTGTATTTAAGCCATAGTGTTTGTCACGTAAAAAAGGATTCTATTTGCTCAATATTGTTTCAGGCAAAAACTCATTATCTTATAAAAGCGGCCAGTAACCAAATGAAAGTACGTACAGTGATTCTGGTAATTTTTTGTCACGGCACACTTTTAACAATTTCAAAACTGAGACACAAAAAGATAATATGTTTCATCAAAAAGATAGTTTAATACACTGTATAAAATAGTTTATGATAATAATTTTGATTTTTAATACAAAATAAAATAATATACTACATAAGAAAGGTTCTTGACTGGCCATCGCAGTGTAGGACTTCTTAACATAGGCATTCTTAAAATGTACAACAAAACCTTTTAGACGTCCATGAATAGCTGGCATGCACCATCTGTGCAAATGCTAATAAATTAATTAAAACAAAATTCCACAATACTCTTTCTAGTGAATATGAACTAGTCATATCAAAAATATGTTTTTCAGTTGTAAAATTAGATAGATCACGACGGCATAAAAGTTGATTAATTACATCATTTCTGTGACTTAACCAAGGGAATGGAATTGAACTTTACTCGTAATTTAATAAATGCATTGTAATTTAAACTTATTTAGATATTTCTAAAATTTGGCGGCAGGCCGCGGGACAGTGGCTGAGTATCACTGGTGTTATAAATTTAAAGCTATAAAATATTCATCATTTGCATTGCAAGATTTCCCTGTATATAAATTCTCAATATATCTGTAAATTCATTAAAAAAAAGAGTATATTGCTTCCGTTTGAACGATACGGAGAAAGGGAAATGCATTTTATATCAACTAAAAAGAACTTTCCGATACTGCAACCTTTAAGTAATAATTTGCTTGATTGGAAAGACCTTTTCGTGTTCAGTAAGCACACCGACGGCGACTCATTTATTAACGGTGCACGTGTTCTCTCTCAGGGAATAATTCATTCGTATATTGAACGGGCATACTGTTTAATAGTGACTTTTTTCCTATCCTTGTTATGTCCGATTGAAACTCCCACTTTCTATTTCTACGATTTGAGATAATCACATGTTTTTTTTGTTGCAATAAAGAAAAGTGAACCGCGCGTTAGCGTCACGAAGAAATGGGAATTGGACTTTAACCTAAGGGTTAGTTAGCAGAAAATATTTCGAAAATGGTCACTTTTCGAAAGCAAAATCTACATATGTTCGACAGGGAATTATGGAATAAGAAAAATTTCAAGAAATTATTACCTATATATACAAATAATAACGATTAAAACCTATAATCTGGAAACTATGTAGACCGCGACCATCGGGATTTAAAAACCGACACTGCAGTTGACATTACAGCCATTAACTCACGAGGCTACAAATACATATACGAGTAATAATATAATTACAATGGTATAATAATTTGTTTACTTTTTTAATCTAACTCTCGGATATGATATAATACATGGGCCTAACAAACTACAGCGACTGAAAGCAAAAACCTCAACGTTTAACAAAGTTTAAAAGTTGTACTATCGTTTCGTTAACAATAACGCAGAACCCTCAATAAATATTTCGAGACGAGTGAAGTTAAACCATAATCGAAATTGTATTCAAGAGATATAATATAATATTAGGATTGTACAATCTGTTATTATTATTTAATATTGATAGAGTTTAAGTGAAGGAATATTTAAGAAAAAGATGTCTTCAAGGAATGTAATGTCGAAGCTCTTATTTGATAATTTACCTTAATTTAAAAAAAATTGTTATACTTATAATGTAGATACAATATTTCATATTGATATCAAATATTATTAAGATACCTCTTCTATTAGCCACTAGATGGCAGTGCATAATGCATTTTTCAAACAGTTATTATAGCTTTCCATAATATCTTAGTTTCAATGGATGGAATATTTTTATAATTAAAAAAAGAGCGAAAACAAAACAGTCGGTGCGAGTTCACCGCAATTCTCTCGAGAAATCACTTCAGGGAGGTGTGTGGCTATTTATTAGTCACAACTTTTCGCAGGTATAATTCACGGTATGCATTTGTGGCGGCCCAGGTCGACCACCGAACACTTCTCAAACTCGTGTCCCTTACCACGCGTGTTTGTTTTTGATTATTTTTTTTCTAAACAAAATCTTTAATACGAACTTTAAAACACTTTTTTTTAACAGTTCTTAGAAACTATAAGTACCGAAAGATATAAAAATTTAAAAATTATCACTTAATATAGAAGAGCTCTGCGACGCTAGTTAATTATCTGCAAAGCTATAGACCTTTTTTCTTATCTTAATATATCACCTATAACTAAATTAATTAGTTATATCGATTGTTTGTGGTTATAAACATACTTTTGCGGTATGATGTTCATTTGTTATTTTTTATTAAGTTTCATAATCATTAGAATAATTTAAAAGGCTAATTATATCAAATTTAAATCCGATGGGGATAAACAAACACACTTCCAAAAATGTTTCCGGACTTTTGCGAAGGTTTTTGGGAAGGTATTTGTAACTCATGATATTGTGAATGTCATTGATTGGTGATGATCACTTACCATCAGGAGAGCCTGTTTCATCCCCTACATAAAAAAAAGTAAAATTTATGATTTCAATTTATGAAAAGTAAAATTTTTTACGATGACTCACGAACCAGATGGTTAGCTTCGACGCCGGGGTGTGTGGGTCCGATTCCCATGCGGGACTAGTATTTGTGTGACCTTCAGAAAATCGATGCATATCTGGATGTTTGTTCTGAGTTGACCTCAGACAGGCGGCCGGTTGTAAAAAAAACCAGCAAATACCATTAGCAACATGGTTCATATCCTCTGCTAACCCCACCTGGCTGGGATAAACGAACATATTGTTTCTTTTCCCTGAAAATAAAAAAAAACATCCTAATAAAAAACCCAAAACGTAGAACAACTGAACGGCGATAAAATAATATGATTAATTCGGGGGCAAGACATTAATGAGACTAGAAGCGAGTTCGAAAGACGATAAGAACGAACCTTTGTAAATGGTAGTGAGCGGGCGAGTGGAATTTATCGAAAAAGATTTGTGGCCGACGCCGATGCAGCAATTTGACTATCGGAAAATATATTTTATGACGTCCGCGGCACTTTGTCGGACTTAATGGACGTTCGCTGGGACTGTTTTCGCCAGTGGCCGCAGAAAATGCTTCAACGCTATTTCCGTAAAAAAAAAAGTAAAACTTTTATTTTATATATAAATTAATTTGAAATAAGCATAAACACCAAACCCAACCACCATTACCCCAGGAAAGCGACCTTAATTGAAGACGTAAAGGGTAACTATTATTCTTTTGAACATCACATGGAGGACATAAATGAGAAATGAATCTCGCTATACACGTTATACACTCGCTATACAGTTTATACACTTACATATCTTGTGGGTGCTTCTGGATTAGCACTTACAATTATTAAAATAAAGAGTATGTGTAATTATATGTGACTGCTGGTAATTTTCTAGTAGTTCATAAAGATGATTTCAGATATTATTAACATTTTTGAAAGTGTTTATAAATTGTTAAATAATTTCGAACATCGTTACTTGCTCAAAATCAAGAAAAAACGGTCTTATGTGGCACAGAAAGTCAAAACTTTTACACCACCATCTTCATCAAATGTTCAAAACTATTAAAACCTCTCAGCTGTCAAGAAAACATCAAGACTTTAAGAAATGTAACACTTTATGAGCGCTCGTCTCACGTAGAGAGCGGACGAACAATTTATTTTTTAAATAACAAAATGGCAGAATGCTCGGGGCGCTTTAAAAACATTAAGAACTTAAAATGATGGAAGACAGTTGTTAATCACCTAAAACTGAAAACACCTCTAAGTCTACAATTCAAGCACACGTTCAGAGTATTAAAAGCCTTATGGTCGTGGAACAAAGTAAGTATTTTTATTCCAGTCACCAACTTACAACTTACGAA